CACACACACACACACACACACACACACACACACACACACACACACACTGCCCCGTCACAAATAAGTCTCATGTCATTAAAACAAGATATTTTGTTTTATTGTCATCATACTACATAACAGTAGTAGTACCGCATTCAAAATACTACTACAAATACTACAAGTAAAATTCTCCACATGTCTCCTCCTCTTCCTCCTCCTCCTCTTCCTCTTCCTCTTCCTCTTCCTCTTCCTCCTCCTCCTTCTCTTCCTCCTCCTCCTCCTCCGCCTCCTCTTCCTCTTCCCCCTCTTCCTCTTCCTCCTCCTCCTCCTCCTCTTCCTCTCTATCTGCTGATAAACTGCTGTGTGTACTTCATGTGTGTATTTTGCAGCTCAGTGTGTGTTTTTGTGTCTGATGTAAAAGTCACGTGACTCATTTCTCATCAGCTGTTCACTGTTTAACATTAAATGTTAATAATTAACGTTAACGTATAAACCAGAACATTTTAAACAGTTTAACCAGCAGAGAGCACTGCCGGCTTCATCTTCATCCACACAACGGGTCATTATGTTCGATGAACGAGTATTTTACTGGTAATTTACTGTGTTTTTGTGCTAATGATTTGAATAAATAGTGATTTAAGTTGACTTGGTCGAGTTTATCAGAATCAGATTTATTGATTTAAACATGCGACTCATAAAATAACTCTTATCAAAGATGTTTCTCTATGTTTTGATTTTATAATAAAAGCTGAATATCAGCTGACGTATTGATTATTTAAAACTTTAAGACGTTGTAATCTACGGCTGTTTAGAGCACCGGGAGGTTTACTTCCTGTACCGTTTATTCAAATAGTTAAACTCATATTACAACATTTAAATAAGTACGAATATGTTTAGTCACAGAATGTTTGTGTCGACTTTCTTTGTAATTAATCGTTTTTATTCCAACCAATCAGCTCACAGGCTCATTAACTCTTCTTCTGTGGTCGAAGGAAATAAAACCCTAAAGAGAATAAATACAAAACAAATAAACCAGCTCCTCTTTCTCTGTCTCCTCCTCCCTTTCCTCTTCCTCCTCCTCTTCCTCCTCCTCTCTCAGCCGTCACCCCTCCTCTCTCCCCATCAGTGGCGTCTCCCCCTCCACGACGCCTCTCTCTTAAGAGGTTTTCTCTGTTCTCTCGTTTCCCAGGTAAACACTCGCATGGGCCAGAGGGGGGAGGGAAGGAGGGAGGGAGGGAGGGAAGGAAGGAAGGAGGGAGGGAGGGAGGGAGGGAGGGAAGGAAGGAAGGAAGGAAGGAAGGAAGGAAGGAAGGAAGGAAGGAAGGAAGGAGGGAGGGAGGGAGGGAGGGAGGGAAGGAAGGAGGGCGTCCTCTTTACGCCTCTTCACCATTTTCCCCTCTTTTCCATCATCTTCAGATCCTTGATCCAGCAAGTCCAGACCCCAAATACATAAAGTTTAGTTTATAGTTTCATCTTTTTCTCTTATTTGAAGAAACGCATTTTTACATTTAAATGAACTCGAGACCAGATTGTAAATCTTAAAAAAACACAAAATAAACAAAATATTTGTAAAAATATTTTCTGGTTCCAGCTCCTCTAATGTGTTGTTTTCTCTCTTTTATAGCATTTAACATTTTAATATGTTGTAGTTTTTAACTGTTAGTTCAACAAAACAAGCACTTTAAAGACAATACCTTGAGATCTGGGAAATTGTAATTGATTATTTTCCACTGCATGGATTACATTTTATATGTAAAGTTATATTTTAGGGCTCTAATGACAACTTTAATCCAAGTCCTCCAATGAACATTTGACACATCCACGTGTGCAGAGAACGTTTTTATAATAAAAAGATGGAAGGAAAATATCTGGAATAGTGAAAAATAGAGTTCTTTAAATTGTTTGTTGTAAAAGAACAGCTACGGAAGCCCTGAGAGGAAAGTGAGAAACAGAAAGTCTTCTCTGAGGAGTTTTCTCTCCTGTGTTTATGACTGAAGAACAAGTGATTAAAATACATTTTTTATGAGTTTTAATTCTCCATGAACTCTAAACAGAAGTTACATATGTTGTGTGTTAACAAGTTGTTCAAATTCAAACTCACCATGAAGAAAACATGAATGCTTTGAGTTAAATGTAGACTATGAGCTGGTGGTGCGCGTCACCCTCTTGTGGCTGAATTGAGTATTACAACAACAAAGCAAACAAGATAAATAATGGAGTAATCTAGAAAAATGATCCTGGCAAAACATTGAATGGAAAACAAGATTTAGTTTTCTCACTTTCCTCTCTGTGAACAAAAGCAAAAACCAATAGATATTTAATTAAAGTAACAGATTAAAGTATTTCTTACATCTGAAACATTGGACCAGATCATTTTCTTGCTTGTTAAACAACTTTTAATCAATTATAAAATCATTTCTGTTGACTTAATTGATTAATTGTCTGATTGATTCAGCGCTACAATAGATGTATTTATTATAGAAGTTAAGTTCTCGATCATGTGATCGATCGGATCAATAACTCAGATTATCACAGCGTGAGGAGAGAAACTTGCTGGATGAGGAGCACCACGTCCTCCCCTTTAACCACTGATCTGTGGTCAGATGTTATTCATAACTCCTGTGACGTTATATCAACAAGAAGAGTTGGCTAATCTGACCGTAGACCTCTGGTTAAAGGAATAGTTTCACATTTTTACAAATACGCTCATTTGCTTTCTTTTTGAGTTGGATGAGAAGATGGAAAAAAACTCACATCTGTCATTTAAAATTATGAAGCTAGCACAGCAGCTAGTCAGCTTAGCTTAGCATAAAGACTGGAAACAGCTATCATGGCCCTGTCCAATTGTGATATATGTATAATCTGTATAGAGACACTAAGTCCCGCCCCGAATACTATGTGACCTTAGAAAGAAATATGTACGGAAGTCAAGAGACAAAAATGTATTTGATCCCGTTTGAGTTGTGTCATGAACTAGACGTATGATGTTTGTCAATTCAAAAGATATTTTTGAACAACAAGAAAGCTGCGTTTTGTCGTAAAACTGTAAGATAACGTTATATTTGTCCGTGGAACGTAGCTAAGTTAGCTTGCGAGCTAGCAAACCAAGCTAACGGCCGTGTTGGTGACGTACGTTGTTCAAAAGAAATTAAGTTCAAACTGTTGACAAACTGCAACTTTCTTGACGTGTAAAATTAATTCTTAAATTGACACAAACATTAATTAAAACAGGATCAAAAAATGATTTGTCTCTCGCCGTTGACTACCGTACATATTTTTCCCCAAATAAGGTCACATGGGGGTCACCGGAAGGGGCGGGGCTTCACCTCTCAAGAACCCAAGATATACCGTGTTAGTCTGTGAGCTTCAGAGGTGCGTTACCTTCAGACAGAGCCAGGCTAGCAGTTTCCCCCCGTTTCCATTCTTTATGCTAAGCTAAGCTAATGAGCTGTAGCGCCAAAGTTTGATAACAATCTTCTCCTCTAACTCTCGGAGGAGGGGGGGGGATGTTGAACTCTTCCTTTGATCATCACCGACGCTTTACGTCACCCTCCATGACATCACTAAACCCAGCCAATGAGAGCGCTTCCTCCTGTCGTAGCCCAAAAAGAAAAGCTCAAACGATGCACTCCGCCTCATCGCTCATCGTTTGTCTCATTCTTTAAGTAACAAACACACTCTCATGTCTTCTGGCGTTCACATTAAAACGTGTTTTGTGTTCATGATGTCGTCATTTTAACGTCTATTTGTTTTCTGCTTCTGTTCATGTGTTTGTTGTTGTTGTTGTTGTTGTTGTTTTTGTTGCTTTCTTTGCCTTCTCGCCCTCTCGCTCACACTCTTCCCCCCCACACCAGAGTTTCGTTCTCCGTCTCACGCTGGGAATCTCAACCGCTCGGCGTCTCTGAGCTGCACTGAGCGCGCTCCAGAAAACGTCTCCGTCGGCGGTAGCATCACTCAGATCCCGGGAACCCCGTTCCAGTACATACCGGACTTCTGCGTACGAGCTCTCACGGACCTGCAGTTTGTCAAGGTGAGTACCGGTCAGACAACTGAGTATTTTTTATTATTTTATCAAAGTTACAGTGAGGAACTTCTGTCAGACCCTGCTGCAGTAAAATGAGAGGTTTTCTAAAGGTCTGGCGCTCAGAAACACTACCGCTTTAGTCCACAGGGGGCGACAGAACCAACACATTATGAAAGTTCCTCATAGTAACTTTAAGTAACTAGTAATTATATCTGTCAAATAAATGTAGTGGAGTAAAAAGTACAACTTTTCCCTCATTGTTTCATTGTATTATAATATATATTGTTGGACCTGTTTTATGTCTTATAGTAGATAGTAACCCACCCACCTCGACTGGAGAGTGCTTTGAGTCAACTCCTGTTGTTTTTAAACTTGCTGCATTAATAAAATGTCTGGACTTGTCTCGTGCAAAAGCATTACAGTAATCGATTCTGGATGTTGTGAATTTAAGCATGAACGAGGATATTTACTGTTAAAAAAAGATCAAAAAGTCGGTTCTATTCTTGTCTGTTCTGTGCTCCTCAGATCACTCGTCCTCAGTACCAGAACGGTCTCCTGGCATCCCGGCTGGACAGCACTCCTCAGTCTCCAGAGGGCAGTCGCACTCGCCTGGACACGTCCGTCTCTTTGCCCCCCGTGACGCCACCGGGGACCCGAGCTCCGCTGCCGCTGGCCTCGCCTCCTGCAAAGCGCCCGCCGTCTAAAATTCAGCCGCCACCGCCGCCGCCGGCGAGCAGCCGCGCCGCTCCGCCCACCTCCACCTCCACCTGCAGACCGAGCCAGTCGCTCCCCCAAACCACGCCCCCTCCGGGCAACCACACCCCTTTTGCCCAGCCCCCTCCGTCCTCCGTGAGCCTGACGGCGTGCACCTTTAACCCTCCTCCGCCCTCCTCCGTCTCCCCGAAGCCCCAGCTGTCGCCGCCCTCCCCCGGTCCGTTAGAGACCACCACTCTGCTCAGTGAGCAGCAGAACTGTGTGGGCCCCCGCAGGCCCAGCCACACCCAGGCACACCCCCACGCCCACACCAACATCGGTCACACACACACTGAAAGCACCATATAACGTAAAACAAGCCCCTGAGGGGGAACTAAACTACCCGTGCACTCACTCACTCACTCGCACTACTTCCTGTTTGCTCGTTGTCTCCTGAACTTGCTGAGGATCAGCACCTCATGTGTATTTTGTAAACGGAGATCCTCTTCTAACCCGTCCTGCATGCCCCCCCCCCCCCCCCCCGAGATTCCACAAGATATCCATAATAGACTACAAAGATGGCCGAGGGAACGCGAGTGAGTACGAGTGGAAACGTAGACGGGGTTTTGTGTTTGTAGAGGATCAGTTCACCGGGTTTGTTCAGGTTTTTAGAGATTTCTGCCTCCAGCTCAGTGAAAGATGAACTTAACAGCAACGTGTTTCTGTGGATCATCTGCAGACCTCCAGGCTTCAAAGGAGCCTCTTTACATCCAGAATAACTGGGACATCGTTTCGGGAAAGACTCAATCAAAAAGCATTTCCTCTAAGAAATCAGCATTAATATGTCCAAGCTGTTTGTTTTGACCTGCGTACTTATTTGGTCAGAATTGTTCCTTTTCTTACTTAAGTTCATGTCTGATCTCCGGGTCTGCGTGTATCAGAGTAGCTCTTATTACTGCGTAAGTGCCTGAAAACATGGACGCCGTCGTTCAATATCAATAAACCAACAAATACGTCCAAAAAGCCACAAAAACTACATTAAGCTGCTTTTCATTTCAGAGGCAGGAATCTCAAAAGCTCCGTTCATAAAACTATTTGCCAGTTTGTTTGTTTTTCTGTGATTTATGTGAACTGAACCTTTACGTCATCGCCGGTGTGACAAAAACAGAAAACTCACGTTTCCAGATCAGTGCTGGAGAAGATCTTCTTATTTATTTATTTACTTTTCCAAAGAGTGAAACTTCCAAAAACTATAAAGTTTATTTTCAAAAAGTAGGATTTTATTTACGGAGCGGCAGTTTGTTTAAGTGTTCTTTGGAGGCGAGGCGACTTTCATTGAGGCAGTTTTCTAGATTCTTGGATTTATTTGACCGACTTCGAGGCGTCCATCGGTTTCTGTTGGTTTCTGTTGAGCTTGAAACTCACCGAGACTCTTGAAACGTCTCCACTGTTTATTTATGTCAAAGTTAGAGTATTACAGTTACATACTCCACAAAGAAACGGCACACAAAGACTTTATTTAACAACTCCAGCAGCTTTCTATGAAGCCTGCATATGACTTTCTGTCTCTCTCTTTAGTTTAACTCCTAACATTAAATGAATAACAGCAACACGCACTCTGATTGGCACGCAGTTATTTCAAATTAATTATAATTAATTATATTTAAATATAAGCAAACACAAAATGTAAACTGTTCATCTTTAAGTGGGACACAAATAAATTGTGAGATTTAATATAATGTGCACGCTTAAAACTACATTTAATAACAAAAACTACACATTTTAACAAATATCTTTTTAATTAATTCTTGTTCCATTTTGAGACAGAATATGGGAATAGAACCATTAATATGTAAATTTAATCTTTTTTAAAAATTATTATTTTAGGCTATTAATGCACAATGGATTAGTCATATATTTATTAACAAACTATAATTCAAGTGCTAATTGTTTTTTACACACAAACAGAAATGAGTTGAAACCAATGGCGTCCTGACAAGTAGAAATAAATTCATGTGATGGAAAATAATCCTCAATAATCTGAGTTACGCGCGAGTACGAAACACCCGGCTCCTTTAAGTTGATGTTGGTGACGTGAAGGTGTCTTCAGGCCTGCCTCTTGACCAATAAGACAATATATGTTTCAAATGATTTAATTTCTAAGAGTGATGCTATTATGAGTATTTATTTTCTGTTATATTAAATTATATATATAGAGAGAGAGAGATATTTAATTAGTTGTTTTATATTTTAGAGGTTTATTTATGCTTTGCCTTCGTTGGTTCTTGAAGCTGAAGGACAAGCTGCAGACTTCAGACTCTGAATGTTCCTCTCTGTGAACACCAGCTCCGTCCTGAAGCTGCATCTTCAGTTTAAACACTGTGTTCACGGCTGATGATGTCAAAGACTCTGGGCTGTCTATTTATTTGTTGTATGTTTGAACACACAGACGTGGGTTCACTTTGACATGAAGATCACATAACGAGTAGTTTAACGCTCAGTGTTTTTAGTAGCAAATCCAGATTTCTACATATTTTGTGCACATGACTCTAATCACAGAGACTGAGATAATAACTGATATTAAAACAATATTATGGAGCCATGGGAACGGATAATATTCAGAGAGAAAGACTGGAATATTCTCTGAGAATATTAAGTCAAAGATTTAGTTTTCTTGTGACAGGAACCTCATCGATCCACCTCGTGTTTTATGCAGTTGTTGGGATTTAGTGAATTTCAGGTTTTTTTTCATACTTTTCTTTTAAATTTACCTCAAAAACGTTTTGAATATCCGAGACTTTTCATGCAAATTTGTGATTTTTAAATTTGCATTTTTTTCTCTAAATATTAACCCTTTTCCCCGGCTCCCTGATTTATTTATGTATTACCTACAATGGTAATAAGCCGTCGTAGATAAAATACTTATTCCACACTTATATCTGTCCGTTAAAGTTACAACCTCATAGAAGTTGTGTTGGTGCTTGTGATTTGCCAGCGACACCCTTTCATCATTGACTGAGCAGATATTTATTTAAATCAGCCAGGACACTGTTAGCTTAGCTTAGCTTAGCTTAAAGACTGGAAACAGCTAGCATGGCTCTCTCCAGAGTTCAAACCTGTGACTTAATATTTAATGGACAGATGTGAGAGTGGAATTCTTCTCAACTCTCAGCAAGAAAGCGTATCTTTAACTTGTGTTTCACACGTGTGTGTGTTAACCTTTGAGCTCACAGTTAAGCCCGAGGTTAAGGATTGACTCGTGAATACTGGAAACACTCGCAGCACAACGACTTGATGAGATTTAATGGACAACAAACATTCCACTGCATGTCTTCACACGAGTGGTGTTAACCCTGTCGGGGCTAAAAAAAAAACTCACGTTGGCTTCCTGTAACTGGACAATTGTGTGTGTGTGTGTGTGTGTGTGTGTCTGAATGGCACTCAAAACCAATGTGAAGTAGATTTGATTGTGTCTGTAAATGAAGCTATTCGACCCGTGTTCAGAGCAGACGAGGGTTGGAGGACGTTCGGTTGTGTTCCGGTGGAGATGAAGAGAGATTTAGATGAAGACGACTGCAGCAGCTCAGATGTTGAAGCTGCTAGCTTGTAATCTACATATTTATTTATTTTTCCCACATATGCAGTGACACTGAAACAATTTGTGACTGTGAAGATAAATTATTTTGTTGATGATATAGTGATTTATTTAAAGAAATGACTGTTGTATAAGCTAGCACTGGTTTGAACACTTTAAACATGTGAGTCACGTAGCTTAGGTATGAAACATGAATATTCAAAAGCATTTGAGGTAATTTAAAGGTACAAAGGAGGTTTATGTTTTAAACCCAGAAAAAATATGTCGCCATTGAATGTTTTTGCAAACCACCGAATATGATGAATGTCCAGAATAATATAATCTGAACAGAAATCCGTTTCACATCAGCCACGCTGGTAAAAAACGCACAATGCTGTTGTGAGTTGAGAGGAAATGAAAAATGTATTTCTAATCCTTTTAGATCACATTCCCGGGTGTATTGTTCCCCTGTTTAACAATATATGCAATGTATTTATTTGTATTTTTTATATCAAAATCCAATCATCTTTTCTTCCCCAAAAAAACTAAATATAAATAATTGTGCTTGTACCAAACAACTACAACCAATAACACCCATAACGTGGTCGTCTCCGGATACGACGGTCTGAAAAATGTTTTGTGTTTAAACAATAATCCACCAACTTAATGAAATAACTGAAACAGTACTACAGCAAATATACAACAACAGAATATCTCACATAATGTTATGTAATATGCAATGTTATGTAATAAGCAATGTTGCGTATAACAACGTTTAGTAAAAGTAAACTTTTGGTTTCACACGAGACATTAACATCGGTCTCCTGGGTGAAAGTCCCGGGTTTGTTTCTTATAATCATTTTCATACCACGTAACTTTCAATAACGGTAATAACGTATCCGCGGTTTGCAGAAACGTACAATGGCAGCATCTTTACTGGCGACTGGGCTGTTTCTTACCTTGAGGTCTTAAAGATTTCAACATCTAGTTTCCAGACCTTTTGTTACTTGTTGTGCTCAGTTGTACCCCGGTGGTCCCCCTACCAGGTGAATCCGGCAATATAGAAGATCGGCACTCTGTGAAAACCGTAGTTATAATTCAGCAGGACCTTCCAGTTCACTGACCTTAGAGGAGAAACCTGCTCAATAAATAGAAATATAGAGTCGACATAGCCTTAAGAGAAGTTAGACCTGCCTGCTGGTTCATAGGTCTCATGTAGCAATAGGTCTCATACTGGTTTCCAGTGAAGCCACTGGTTGGCTGTGTGATACCAGTTTGTGCACTGGGAAATGTGCAAACAATTGTTCTACTTATTAATGTTGTATTTATTGTAAACGTTGTATTTATTGTTCTTTTTTGGGGGGGTTATAGGCACCTGAGGGTGTGGTTCTGTGAAACGGGCTTCCAGCTGTGAAACACAGCTTTAAACACTGTGTTCAGCTCCCTGACTGCTGTGTGTGTGTGATGTTACTGTAAATACTACTGTACATGAAGAGATGGACATTGAAAAAATAACTGAAAGAGATGTTGAAAATAGCTCTATTTATAATGAGAGATGTTATTTCATTTACTTCCATTGTTTTGTTAGGCATTAAATAGCAATAAACGTTGCACAGAGTTGACCTCAAACAATCATTTACTCATATATCTTTCTTGTCGTTAGACGTGATAACCAAAGCTTTCATTTCTTTCAGCCTCCTGTAGCTCCCTCTGTGCCTCCTCTCCTCCCACGCTTCCTTTTCACTTTTCCTCATCCCTTTTTCTCCCTGCCTCTTATCTCCACTCCTCTCCCGCCGTTTAATAATATTGAAATTCCTGCAGCTTTGACTGCCGGTCTGAATCTGCTAAGCCGTTTTTAATGTTCAGACCTTTCTCTTTTTTCTCTGTCATGGGACTCGAGCGGGGCTTATCAGCAACTCCTGTCGTGTTGTTTTTAGCCCTGCAGCGGTGTGATGATTAGACCTGTACGAAGGTTAAAGAGTTTCTGGCGCAGGCTTCTCAGCCCAGTGAGCTTTTTCCACACGATGTATCATTCACACGTGGATTGTTTTGAGTCGTTTCGGGTTTCATGCATGTGGAGCGATGCAGAAAGAGTGAAGGGCCCCACATGTTTTTTGCATGTTGTTATTTGCACGCAGAGTTCGGGCCGTGTTTTTTAAGAGTTGCAGTGCAGACATGAGATAATTCAAGCCTCTGAAAAACACAAATATTTAACTATCTATAACTATTATACAGAGGTAAAGTTATCTTCCCTTTTCATTTCCCCAGAGTACGTAAAGCAGATACCTGTTTGGCATGTTTTAATATTCAGACAAGGCTGTGTGTTTGACTTGGGTGTGAGTTTTTTATTTATTGCAATGACTGAGCAAAGATGGAGGAGCACTTCCAAACATGGATAGTGGAACTTAAAAGCAATGTGTACATACTGTTTTATAAGTAGCCCACTGTAAGGCATTCGAAGAAAATCTATGAGGTTATTAATAAACCTGAGATATATTTCTCTACAGAAAATCTGTCTCTTGTTTGATTCAAGGTTTCTTTGGATTGCTGGATTTTCTTTTTTGCCTGCAGGATTTGTTCATTTCACGCTAACTGATGTGAGAGATGTTTACAGGACATGTGGGAGGATCCTCAAATTCTGTTATCAAAAGGAAGCCGGCTATTATATTCATGTCATTACCAATCCTGCACTTCTTCTCCCACACTGACTGCACAGATTGTGTTAAAGGACAGCTCACTTTAAAGGATACATTCTCATATTTTGTCTGTCTTGAAACAATACTCACAAGCACATTGAAGGAGTCCACAAAAAGTGGATTAACTCAAAATAATTTTGTGAAAAACTTTCGCTACCTAACTGCCATGTGATTGCAGACCTTTGAGAGTCCAAAATGAAGGAAGTGATCATAGCTTCTTAGCTGTGTTGTCCCATTTAGCCTTCTTTGTCACAGTATAACCCAAGAGACATACATTTGACAGTTCAGGAGTTGTTGGTATTACATCTCTTTAAGTATACTGAACTTATTGTCCCGTTAGCGACCTATCAACCTGACAGAATTAGTAAAACTAGAGCATTTTATTCCGGGCTAATAACTAGAATAATCTACAACAAAATGCCAGGATAGCATGTAGCACAGAAAAGAAAGAAACATGTTAAAAAAACATGTTCAACGCTAGCTAGCGGGTTAGCCGTGATCTTGCTAGCCAAAGTAGCTAATCGACTAGCGTAGCATTTTATCCCGGGGCCAACAACTCTTCATTCAATAGAATAATCTACAACACTAAGAACAAAATGCCAGAATAGTAAAGCAGCACAGAAAATAAAAAATAAGGAATTAACATGTTTGAATATGTTCGACGCTTGCTAGCTTGTTAGCCGTTATCATGCTAGCTCATCAACTAGCGTAGCTGCCAGGCCTTTATAAGTGGGTGTATTCCAAAGTAACTGTTTCCACACAGTAATGTTTCCTGGCTGACCTGATATACAGATAGAAACATAAACAGGAACTTTAATACAGAAAAAGACTTGACTTATGAATTGTTGAAGCTTTTTATTAGTTTTAGTTTAACTTATTGTACACAAGGTTGACTAATTATGGTGAATTTTATTCAATTTCATATGCCTTTATTTCTTTATAGTGTCACTTTACCTTCATATACTTTCACATACATATCTTTATTTAAATATATATATGTATATAGCCTTTTTATTACTTGTCATTGGGCATACATTCACTACATTTCTTTACATTCAGTTTATTCACTTAACACACTAATGTATTTTATTTTATTTAATCCCTATATTTTAACTTCTGCAACATTTTGTGTCTTAGATTCTAATTTGTACGACTGTTTCTTTGTAAATGTAGTTCATAAGACAATAAATAACTTAAAGCGTGATGCAGATAAGTACTTGTTTTAAGTCAGACAGAAACAAGTCAGAACCAATCCTTGTATGTAAATGTGAAGTGTGATTAAATTAGCATTGATTCAATGAATGTGTATTGAGTCTACCAGAGGCCCAGAGTGATGAATGACTTGTTCATATGAAATCTAACAAAGAAGGGCGGTCGCTCCTCTTGTTTCCTCATTTGTTATTGGCCATTGACGAACACTGACTGTAATTAGCTGTTTTAGAGAAGAGGCGGGGCAGTAAAAAAAAAAAACCCCAAAACATTCAGAATCAAGCCCCAACATGAAGAGAAATCTCAGCGCTCCGCCTCAAAACGAATAGAACCAAAATGGCCGCCATGGCAGCTCAGTTGTTGTGTTCATTTTCACTTATATATATCTATATATATATATAGACACCTTTATTTAAATATATATATATAGCCTTTGTATTACTTCTCATTGGTCATACATTCACTACATTTCTTTACATTCACTTTATTCACAGCTGTATTTTATTTTATTTAATCCCCATCATTTTGTGTTTTACGTTCTAATTTGTACGACCCAAAATGGCCGTCACAGCAGCTCAGTTGCCGCGTCCGTTTGGCTAGCGCAGCCCCCCTCAGTGGGCGGGGCCGCTGTGGAGTCACATGATCCGCGCGCAGAGCCAGGCCGACCAATTCCAATATGGTGGCCAGCTTGGCAGGTCTACGGTTGCTGTTGATGATATTGTTGTTCTGCGGGATCAGGTACGGCGACTGCGGCCGGGAAGCCCCGCCGGTCCTGGGGCTGCGACTGGAAGCTCCGACCGGTCTGGTGTGTATGAAGGATCGGATCATCTCGGCGCCAGAGGGAGCCACGTTCGAGCTCCGTCTCTTCGGCACCGAGCTGAATGGAAGCTGGCCGTCGGTGGCATTCGCGGGGGCATCCGGCGGAGCGGCCGGGGCGGCTGTCGGGGACGCGCCCGACCCGTGCGTGCGTGAGCACAACCGTCAGCGGTCCTGTTTCCAGGTGACGCGCGGATTCACACCGGATGAGACGTACAGCGGGCTGATAACGGTGGAGGTATAACAACACTAACAGCACGTGCGATATAAATACAGTGAGATATAAATACACTGTGCGATATAGATACACTGTGCGATATAAATACACTGCGATATAGATACACTGTGCGATATAAATACACTGTGCGATATAAATACACTGCGATATAGATACACTGTGCGATATAAATACACTGTGCGATATAAATACACTGTGCGATATAGATACACTGTGCGATATAAATACACTGTGCGATATAGATACACTGTGCGATATAGATACACTGTGCGATATAAATACACTGCGATATAAATACACTGTGCGATATAAATACACTGCGATATAGATACACTGTGCGATATAGATACACTGCGATATAGATACACTGTGCGATATAAATACACTGTGCGATATAAATACACTGTGCGATATAGATACACTGTGCGATATAGATACACTGCGATATAGATACACTGTGCGATATAGATACACTGTGCGATATAGATACACTGTGCGATATAAATACACTGTGCGATATAAATACACGGTGCAATACTACAACTATTCTGTCTGTATACATAGTATATTAGTTATTTTTTTGTTATTTAATATTCTTTCCTGTTTTATTACTTATTTACTTATTTATAATACTTGTTTTTTTACTGTCTCTTGTTTGCACTATACTGTGTGTATATGTATATATATTTACTCCACTATGCAGCTGTAATCCTGTATATTTCCCCACTGCGGGACAATTTGTTTTCATGTATTGGTTTATTTGATAAGAGACGGTGCACATTAATACAAACATTGTTGTAAATGCTCCAGAGTTAAAGCCAAGAGGCAGATGTTACAAAGTAAACCAATACAAACAGAAGATCATTTACAAAGTTATGCAATGTTGAGCCTTTACAAAGCGTGCAGAAACATGAAAGAAGTGAGAATATTAATATAAATAGTATCATCATTCAGGAGACTCTTATACTGAAGACATGCCGGTAGATGAGGGTCGACTGATCTGATCTGGTCTGATCTGATCTTAGGTCCGGCGGAGCGTCTCTGCTGGAGAGAACGCAGCTAGCGGCGAGCAGCAGACGTACCACCACCTGTGCGTGCTGAGCGGGGGGAAATGGGCATCCGCGGGGATCCCGGACCGGCTGCGGATCAACACCGACACGGGTCTGCCGGCGGACTACATTCCACCGTGGGCTCTGGCCGTGCTGGTCGTGGTGCTGCTGCCGGTCTGCGCACTGCTGAGGACCGTGAACCTGAGCCTGCTGTGGCTGGACCCCGTGGAGCTCTATGTCCTCCACAGCTGCGGGTCCGAGGAGGAGAAGCGGGCCGCCAAGCGCCTGGAGCCCATCCGGAGGAGGGGCAACTTCCTGGTGAGTTTCTGAGGAGTACTCGGGTTATACAGTGTATAAATACTCTGTTGCAAGTAGAAGTCCTGCATTCTAAAGTCTTACTAAAGTAGCATCAACAAGTACTTGAAGTACCAAAAGTAAAAGTACTAATTATGCAGAATGGCTCATCTCAGATTCATACATTTCATATTATTATATTATAATTATGTGTTCACCACTTTAATGTTGCAGCTGGTAACGGTGGAGCTCTTTTATTTACACTGCTGTTATGAAGCTATTATATATATTTTATTTGTAAATATGTTGTATTAATAATCTGAATCTGTAAAGAAACCATTTCAAATAAATGTAGTGGAGTGAAGAGTATAAGATGTAGAAGTATGAAGTAGCATAAACTGAAATTGCTCCTGTAAAATACAACTTAAGTACCTCACTTGAGTACTTGTGCTTCATGCAGAGAATGAGATGAACCAGCTGTTCCTAAATGTTCTTAAATGTCTTTTTGTCAGACGTGCTCTCTGCTGTTCCTGACCGCCGTGGGACACTCGGCCCTCGGCGTCCTCCTCTACCGTGCGCTGGGCACCATCGTCTCCGCCGTCTTCACCAGCGGCTTCCTCGTCTTCTTCGTGGCCGAGCTGGCTCCTCACGTCCTGTGCTCCGGGTACGGCTTCCAGCTGGCGCCGGGACTCACCTGGCTGGCCCAGGTGTGTCTGGTGCTCACCTGCCCGCTGTCCTGCCCTCTGGGGCTTTTCCTGGACCTGGCGCTGAGGAGGGACATCAGCACCTGTGGTATAAGGGAGCGGGCCATGGAGATGATCCGCACGAGCGTCAACGACCCGTACAGGTAAGAAGAGACCAGGACGGAGACCCGGAGGTGTGTTTGAAGAAGCGCTGTGTCGGCTCATCCTTGCCGTGTTTCCTGTCCCAGTGAGTTTGTGAAGGAGGAGTTCAGCCGCGGGATGCTGCGCAGTAAGACGGTGGAGGACATCCTGACCCCCCTGAAGGACTGTTTCATGCTGCCCAGCTCCGTGGTCCTGGACTTCTCCACCATGTCTGAGATCATGCAGAGCGGATACACCCGGGTGCCCATCTATGAGGAGGAGAGGTGAACATGGGAACACGGCTCTGCCCGAGAGTTTATCCAACCAGAAGTTATAGATTAGTGATGAAAACAGTCAAAACAGGGCAGAGTTATTGTACTCACAATCAGAGAGGTGTGGTAGCATTTTAGGGTTATTGTAGGTTAAACAAATAGCTGGGGGATGGGGCGGAATATTCTGAAGAAAAAAAATCACAATTTCCAAGATTAAAGTCGTAAATTTACGAGAAAAAAACAAAAATATTCTCTCAGAACAAAGGTGTAAATTTACAAAAATATATATTCTATGAAATTAAAGTTGTAAATTTATGAGAAAAAAACAAAAATATATTTTTAAATTGAAGTTGTAAATTTACAAGAGAAAAACTGAATATTCTCTGAGATTATAGATGTAAATTTACAAGAAAAAACAAGAATATTTTCGAAAATTAAAGCTGTAAATTTTTGAGAAGAAACAAGAATATTCTCTGAGATTAAAGAGTCATAAATTAACCGCCGTCTGAATTTCGTTGCACCTAAAGTAATGTTCTTACGGTAAGAATGTAAGTAATGTGAAGGTCCTGAAAGATACATATACGTGTTTTCTTTTATGTTCTTTCTGTTTTATGAACATAAATAAATATTGATATAATTAGACTAATATATGTCAATTCTTACACTTCTTTAGTCTTAGTTATATAAAAGAACAACAGAAGTGAAATGTATGAGAAATAAATAAAAAGGTTTTATTATTATAATAAAATAGATTCAAGTTCTGGTTCTTTCTCCTAACTGCAGCAGAAACACACAGCAGTTCAATGTTTAAACTTTTTATAATGACAGAAAGAACCTGTTATTGTTTAAACCTTCTTTACTCAGATTTCACTCAGTGATGTTGGTTTAGTGACCCATGATCACACACACACACACACACACACCCATCAACACATGTGTTTGATGTTCCAGGTCCAACATCGTGGAAATCCTGTATGTGAAGGACTTGGCTCTGGTGGACCCGGACGACTCCACCCCCATGACGACCATCACCAAGTTCTACAACCACCCACTGCACTACGTGTTCAACGACACCAAGCTGGACGCCATGCTGGAGGAGTTCAAGAAAGGTGCAACACACCTTTGTTTTAATGTTTTCTACGTTTTATTTTGATTTATTTTGAGTATGTGCAGGACGTGAAGCACTAGGAAGCATTGAATTCTGTCTTAGACGGTATAAAAAGTCTTCACTTTTAAGCTTCTCTTTTATTGGCTACCTATCCAGTCGTGTCAGATCTGATTCTGTCACCCCACCCCCACCCCTTCAAAATAAAAGCACCAGAAAGTATCTGTATCTTAAGAGTTAAGATACTTTCTGGTGCTTTTATTTTAAAGGGGCTGAGGCGTGTTTTACGAAATAGAAGCCCAACGACTTTCACTGTATGTCAACAGGCAACTAGCGATGGACCTAGTTTTTCAAAATAAAAGCCCCAGAATTTAACTCTGTCTTAACAGGCAGCTCAGTTCAAGCCTCACGTTTAAGCTTCCTTTTATTGGCTTACAATACAGTCCTGTCAGATCTGATTCTGCCCCCCCCCCCATCTCCCAGCTCCCATCCCTTTCAAAATAAAAGCCCCAGAAAGTACCTGTATCTTAACAGGAAGCTAAGATTGAGGCTTTTTTAACAAAATAAAAGTGAGTTTTGACTCCCAGGAGGAATGCAAGTATCTTTGCCTCGTGTCCCTTCAACTTCACATTGAAGAGTTGACACGGATTGAAAAGCTCTGATTCAGAGTAACGATTAAAAACAATCCTCTGTTCAAGTAAAAATGAGTCTTTTTGTAATTTTGGTGACCCTGCCGTTTACTGATTTACTGAAGGAGTCGTCTCTGTGACTTTTCCTCTCAGGTAACTCTCACATGGCCATCGTCCAGAAGGTGAACAACGAGGGGGAGGGGGATCCGTTCTACGAGGTGCTGGGATTGGTCACCTTAGAGGACGTCATCGAGGAGATTATCAAGTCAGAGATCCTGGATGAGTCTGATGGCTACCGTAAGTTTGTTTGTTGTAAATGTGTTCATTCATTTAGTGTCTGCTGATGTCTTTTATTAAAAGTTTCCGTCTCCTCCTGCAGTGGACAGGAAGGTGAAGCGTCCTCTCGCTCCGCTGGAGATTCCTCTGGAGCCTCGCAGCGTCCACGAGGAGTTTTCTATCTTCAAGCCCCCTGAAGGAGAACCCAAGATCAGGACGTCACCACAGCTCCTCCTGGCTACACATCGCTTCCTGTCCAGAGGTGAGGTTTTACCTGCACACCTGTATGTTCACTAAGCTGCATTCTCTCTAGTGTCCACCAGGGGGCGACTCCTCTGGTT